ACAACTCCCTTGCTGAACCAGCTCCACTGGCTGCCGATATGCTACCGGGCTCAATTCAAGTGCTGGCGTTGGCCTTTAAAGCCCTAAACGGTTCTGGCCCAACTTATCTATCCGAACGTATCTCAGCCTATCAGCCCACCAGGACCCTAAGATCTTCCGGAGAGTCCCTTCTCTCTATCCCTCCAGCTTCAGAAGTGCAGCTGGCGGGAACGAGAGATAGGGCCTTCTCTGTGGTGGCCCCTCGGCTTTGGAACGCCCTCCCTATAGAGGTACGATCAGCCTCGTCGCTGATGGTGTTTAGGAAGAGACTCAAAACATGGTTATTCAAACAAGCATTCGGCTAATCTGTGGCAATTAAATCGAATCTTGGTGACTATGGACAGGAAATATGGACAACGAACTCTGGATTGTGATTTTAACTTGAGATATATGGGATTATTATTGGTGGCCCAATAATTTGTTATTGTATTTGTATATGTTTTTTAAACTGAGATTGTTTTTAAAATGCTGTAAACCGCAATTGAGTCGCCGTTCTAGGCTGAGAAATTAGCGGTATACAAGTGTACCAAAATAAATAAATAAATAAATAAATAAAATAAAATTCAACTAAAAAGCAATCATCATAATCTTGTGAATGGTTTTTAAAAATAAAGGTATCTTATTAAAAACATAACTAATTAAAAACAATTTTAAAATATTTTAAAGTCACACTAAGGATAGATGTACAATTTCTCCCTATTAAAAACCCTTCTATAACAACCAGTCCACAGTCCAGTCTGTGTAAAAAGGGTATTTTCTATTTCTGCACTGGGGGCGGGGGGAGTCAGTGCAATCATAGATTTTATTTGGAAGAGACCACAATGATAATTTATTCCAGTCTCCTGTCATGGGGGGGGGGGGGGCTCTGGGAAGGTACTGAACAATACAGAATCATACTGAAAAGGCTCTCCCATGGGTGCTCACAAAGTATGCCTGTCAAAGTGATAGGATAGAAAGACACTGCTCTAAGGATCTTCAAGCTCGTGTAGGGAGTAACAGTCTTTCAGAAAGTCTGAACTCAATTAATAGTTATTATACAAAACCAGCACATGAAACTGCCTGAAAAAACTAGCAATCAGTGATGCTGCTGCAACAAGAGGATTTATATATTCATTGTAATTAGCCCAGATAAACACTTCAACTAGAGTATTTTGAACCAGTTGAAAGTTCCAAAGGCAGTCGCACAAAGAGTACATTACAATAATCGAAATAATAAAGCAAGAATCACCATAGCCATATCTGACATCTGCAATGAGATTTATAATTGGTGTCCTAGTTTCAAGTGTGGAAAGACATCCCTGGTCACCACTGAAATTTTGGCATCCAGGCTCAAGGAGAAATCCAGTATGCACACATTGTGAACCTGAGATTTTGGGGGGGGGGGGGGGGGAGTAACCTCTTCCAGGCTGCATCTCTGTTCCCCAATCTGTTTTGATGGAACAAGATCACTTCTGTCTTGTCTGGATTAGGTTTCAATTTGATCACCCTCATTGACTCAATTACTGACACTGATTTAGGATCAAAACATTTCCTTGAAACTGGATGAAAATAAGTCAGAGTTTATTTATTTACAGTATTTCTATATCGCTTTTCTCACCCCTAGGGGGACTCAGAGTTGAGTGTAAACCATAATCTTATGCCATAAACCTAGTTAATCAGAACTTGAGCAACTGGAACTCTTAAACAACCAACAAAAATCAAAGGAACAATCCTTTTTATAAAATCAATTTTTAGCAGAAATATTAGAGCAAATTAAGTTTGTCTTTATTTGCTTTTAATTACTGTATTGGAGCCCCCGGTAGCGCAATGAGTTAAACCCTTGTACCAGCAGGACTGCTGACTGAAAGGTCTGCGGTTCAAATCTGGGAAGAGGGGTGAGCTCCCCTCTGTCAGCTCCAGCATCTCATGTGGAGACATGAGAGAAGCCTCCCACAGGATGTTTAAACATCCGGGCGTCCCCTGGGCAACGTCCTTGAAGACGGCCAATTCTCTCACACCAGAAGCGATTTTACTGTATTTCAATATTAATATCAAGTCAATACAGAGTTTATGGTATGACACAGTATTAGCTATTTTAATATTATCTCTCAAGTAACCATAAATTTCATTTAGCCAATTGCTACCAATCTCCTATGGGTGCCGGTTAACTAAGAGACTACTGTACTTTAAACCAAAGCGGTCCAACTAATTTTTTTATCAACGACCACATCAGCCTTACGGTTGCCTTCAAGGGGCTTTTGCATCCATGGATGGAGAATCTGTGGCTACATAGGGCCAAGTATAATATTTTTACATAGTGATCACTATTCTTTAGCTTTTATCCTGTTTAGGTCCCCAGATATTACTGAACAACTATTCCCATCACTTTTGTCAAGTGACTGGGTAGAATGGGACAACCCAAAAGCACTTGTGGCTCTGAGGTTGTGCAAAAGATTAAAGGCCAGCCAAAGCTGTGTAATGACATTAAAACCCCAATATCCTGACTGAACACACCAAAATGCAGCATTCCAGATGTGACTGTATCACAACTCCCATCAGCTCTGGTCATGATGTCTAATGATGAGGAAAACAGGAGTTGTAGTCCAGCATCTGGAAAGCCACATAACATGAGATGGAGGGCCAGATTCTTCCTGCGGACCTTGTGTTGAGCACAGTCATGGGCAAACTTGGGCCCTCCAGGTATTTTGGACTTCAACTCCCACAATTCCTAACAGTCTACCGGCTGATAGGAATTGTAGGAGTTGAACTCCAAAACACCTGGAGGGCCCAAGTTTGCCCATGACTGTGCTCAACACAAGGACTTTAAGTAAACAACTGCTGCCCCAAAAATACTTGTGGGAAAAGGGAAAAACACGAAAGGAAAAGCCATGCACACACAACCCAGAATATCGAGGCAGAAAATCCCACAATATCTGCTTTGAACTGGGTTACCTGAGTAACTCAAGCCTCTGGCACTGGTTCTCAACCTGTGGGTCCCCAGATGTTTTGGCCTTCTTTTCCCAGAAATCCTAACAACTGGTAAACTGGCTGGGATTTCTGGGAGTTGTAAGTAGGCCAAAACACCCAGGGACCCACAGGTTGAGAACCACTTCATGGGACCCAGTCCTGATATTATACCCTCCAAAATGTTCACAGAGGAAAATTGGGGCATAACATAAGATTGTGGACAAGATTGCAAAAGTATTGAGACTGCAGTAAGGCCGAACAGGGCATAGGGTTACAGCCCGTGTTGGACGGGGTTAGACTCCCCCTGAAGACGCAGATTTGCAGCTTGGGTGTGATCTTGGACTCGTCGCTGAGCCTGGAACCCCAGGTTTCAGCAGTGACCAGGGGAGCATTCGCACAGTTAAAACTTGTGCACCAGCTGCCCCGTACCTTGGGAAGTCTGACTTGGCCATGGTAGTCCATGCTCTGGTTACATCCCGTATAGACTACTGCAACGCTCTCTACATGGGGTTGCCTTTGAAGACTGCTCAGAAGCTTCAAATGGTCCAGCGTTCGGCAGCCAGGTTGCTAACAGGAGTGGCACTCAGGGAGCATACTACTCCCCTGTTGCGCCAGCTCCACTGGCTGCCAGTTTGCTACCGGGTACAATTCAAAGTGCTGGCGTTAGCCTATAAAGCCCTAAACAGTTCTGGCCCTACTTACCTCTCCGAATGCATCTCCTCCTATGAACCAACTAGGACACTAAGATCATCTGGGGAGGCCCTGCTCTCTGTCCCGCCTGCATCACAGCGCGCTTGGCGGGGACGAGAGACAGGGCCTTCTCAGTGGTGGCCCCTCGGCTGTGGAACGCCCTGCCTGCAGATATCAGATCGGCCCCCTCCCTGCTGGCGTTTTGGAGGAAAGTGAAGACCTGGCTGTTCGAACAAGCATTTGATTAAACAGTATAATTGAACATAGGAATACAGAATAATGGATGATGAGACTGGATTCTGATTCTACTGTTGAGGTGCTAATTATTGTTATACTGATGTTTAATTATTTATGTTACAATTGTTTTTAATTGCCCTGTACTTGTCTCGTGATGTTTTGTATCGATGTTGTTCACCGCTTTGAGTCGCCTGAGGGCTGAGAAAAGCGGTATAGAAATAAAGTAAATAAATAAATGCAGTAGTTTGCTTTTGCCTGAGCCTACTAGAAATGGCAGGATTCCACCCCTCTCCTCCCCTCCTCCTTCAGCACCGAGATAACTGAACTCAGTTTACAGCAATTGAAATAAACAAACAACAACATTTCAGAGTGGCTACAATTATTAAAGAAAAAGAGGTTATGAGCTAGGATAGGCAGGGAACATTTGTTTTTGCCTGAGCCTACTGGGAACTGCAAAATTACACTTTTCCTCTCTTCCTGAGATAATTGGTACTTTGAGATCATTTTTCAGCAACTGCAGTAAGCTGAGGACAAAGAATGAAAGTAGAATGAGGAAAGAAACTGGGACATTTTAAAAGCAACTAAAATAGGGTAATAAGGAATTAATAATAGGTGCCCCTGCAAGATTGGGAGAGTTTGAGGGCTCTTTCTCACAGCCATATAACCCAGAAAATCAAGGCAGAAAATCCCACAATATCTGCTTTGAACTGGGTTACCTCAGTCCACGCTGCCATATATTTTTCAAAGCAGAAAATGTAGGATTTTATTCAGTTGTATGGAAGGGGCCTGAGAGAACAGAATCCTGAAGCCTGTGAGAGGCAGAGGAGAGTGAGGGTCCACACACACAACCAAGCCTCCTGGCCTTCAATGGCTCCTCAACAGTCCACACAAAACCAATGAGGTGAAAAATGAAGGGTCAGTCAGTGTCCCGCTGTCGTCCCTCAGGCAGCGGCAACAGCATCCCTTTTTGTGACGCCCAGCCGGCCCGTCCCCGAGACCAGCCTCACCCGCCTCTCGAAGCCACAACTAAGGAGCCTGTGGGACCGAAATGCCATGAAGGAGAGAGCCAATTCCTCGCCTAACCTCACCTCGTCGTTCTTTGCCTCAGTCGGATGGAGCTGCAGGGGGGAGAGGAGGGCGGCCAGGAAGAGGAACAGCAAGAGGAGCAGCAGCCGGCCTCCCTCCTTCCCTCTCTTGAGGCGCCGGCTGAATGAACTGAACGGCAAGGCTAAGGCAAGGCAAGGCGGCGCGCGACGAGGGAGGGGGAAGGTGACGCACGCGAGGAGGTGCCGGCGCGCGCACGCTCGCACGCGCTCAACGGAAATTCCTCTTCCTCCTCCTCCTCCCTCCTCCCCCCTCCCTTCTTCACTTCGTCCTCCTCTCCCTTGTGTCAACGTTCAGAACCTTTGGTGGATGGCATGGCAGCGAAAGAGCGAGAAGGGGAGCGGGGGGGCGGGGGGAGGTTTAAAGAGGGAAAAGCCAAGCCCACGTGACCGTAGAGGAGGGGGAAATGGATGGATGGCTGGCTGGATGGATGGAGGCGGCGTTGTGCGCGTGCCCACCCTCTCGCGCTCTCCGCTCGCGCCCGGTGTTCCAAGCACCCCCCCCCTTCTCCCCCTCTTCCTCTTCTGTTGCAACGTGGAGAGAGCCGGGCTAATTAGTGGCTGCAGCGGCGTCACAGCGGAGCTTCTCCTTCCTCTTTTTCTTTCTCTCCCCTCCTCCCCATTTATATTCTAAAGGCCCTTCCAGACAGGCCCTATATCCCAGGATCTGATACCAGGTTTTCTATTTTAAACTGGATTATATGAGTCTACGCTGCCAGATTTATTTATTTTTTGTCGTGTCAGGAGTGACTTAAGAAACTGCAAGTCGCTTCTGGTATGAGAGAATTGGTCGTCTGCAAGGACGTTGCCCAGGGGACACCCGGATGATTTTGATGTTTTCATCATCCTTGTGGGAGGCTTCTCTCATGTCCCCGCATGAGGAGCCGGATCTGATAGAGGGAGCTCATCCGCCTCTCCCCGGATTCGAACCTGCGACCTGTGGGTCTTCAGTCCTGCCAGCACAGGGGTTTAACCCACTGCACCACCGGGGGCTCCTATGCTGCCAGGTAATCTGCAATAAACAGAGAACCAAGCAGTGACATCTCCATCTCATCCCCTGTTTGGATATCAGCCAGCACGTCAACGACTTAAATCAAGAAATAGTTTTCTAAGATCTACAGAGACACTCGCTGGAACACCTCAGCAAGCGAGAGTCCAAAAGTGGCAGGCTCAAACCCAGAACCTCAACCAATGGCTGATACCAAATGAGAGACTGCCCCCTGGGCAGACAGAAGATTGGGCAACTTGGAAGGCGCTGAACAGACTGCGCTCTGGCTCCACGAGTTGCAACCTTAAGGAATGGGGCAACAAAGTGGAATCTACTACATGCGAGTGTGGAAAAGAGCAAACCACAGACCACCTGCTGCAATGCAACCTGAGCCCTGCCACATGCACAATGGAGGACCTTCTTGCATCAACACCAGAGGCACTCCAAGTGGCCAGCTACTGGTCAAAGGACATTTAATCAACTACCAAGCTTGCAAACTTTGTGTTTTGTCTGTCTGTCTGTCTGTTTGTTTGTTTGTTTGTTAAAAATGCAATGCAACTGTTTGGTCTGCCCCTGACACGATAAATAAATAAAACAGAAAACCTGGGATTACATCCTGGGATATAGGGCCAGTCTGGAAGAGCCTAAGAAAGCTGTGTGCTTATAAGATAAAAGGAGAAATCGCAATGTGTTTTTTCTGCCCAGAGTCCCCTCGGGAAGATAGGTACGGGATATAAAGTTTTATTGTTGTTGTTATTCATTCGTTCAGTTGCTTCTGACTCTTTGTGACCTCATGGACCAGCCCACGCCAGAGCTCCCTGTCAGCCATTGACAACCCCAGCTCCTTGAAGGTGAAACCAGTCACTTCAAGAAAACCATCCGTCCATCTTCCCCTTGGTTGGCCCCTCTTTCTTTTTCCTTCCATTTTCCCCAGCATCATTGTCTTCTCCAGGCTTTCCTGTCTTCTCATGATGTGTGTGTGTTTTTTTTTCTTTTTAATCTGTGTGTTTGTTTTGTTCTGTTAGAATTGTAACATAATGGTATGGTTGCTGATGACACGATAAATAAATGATGTGGCCAAAGTACTTCATCTTTGCCTCTACTATCTTGCTCTCCAATGAGCAGTCGGGCTTTATTTCCTGAAGTATGGTCTGCTTGGATCTTCTCGCCGTCCAAGGCACTCTCAGAACTTTCCTCCAACAGTTCAAAAGCATCTATCTTCCTTCGCTCAGCCTTCCTTATGATCCAGCTCTCACATCCGTAGGTGACTACGGGGAATACCATTGCTTATTCTATCCAGATCTTCGTTGCCAGTATGATCACTCTACTTTTCACTATTTTATTGAGATTGGACATTGCTCTTCTCCCAAGAAGTAAGCGTCTTCTGATTTCCTGGCTGCAGCCTGCGTCTGCAGTAATCTTTGCACCTAGAATAGAGTTTATCAACAGGTGTACGTTTAAGACATTCTGTGATTATTCTGCATGTTTCATCCAATGCTATGTTCACCTGCTTTGCATGGGAGACTTATGCCAAACAGGGCAGGTATACTCGGCAGTTGAATAAGACAAGGCTAGGGCTGATGTTCTTATTAATTTTGGGTCTGCACCCCATGCGCTGCCAGTAAGTTTCCACAGGATGTTATTGAGTACAGCTACTTTGTGCTTGGTGTTCAAGCAGTGTTTCCTATATGCTAGCGTTCGATCTAAGGTGACACCGAGATATTTAGGATGGAAACAGTGTTCAAGTTCTTGAGCTTCTCATGTGACTTTCAATTTCCTGTTGGCTTCACGGTTGCATAGATGGAAAGCACACACTTGTGTCTTGGCAGGGTTAGGCTTCAGGTGGTTATCTTTTCAGTAGCAGGAGAGATCTTTCAAGGCATTAGTAAGTTGGATTTCAAATTTTTCAAAATCCATTAAAACATATTCAAAGATAATATCATATTGTGATCCAGAAAGGCATTGGGAAGAATGAGTCTGGATCCAACTCTAGGCATTGTCTTCCCCCTCCAACCAGCCTGCCAAATATACAGATAGATTTCCATCAAACTCACCCTGCAGGGTCACAACCAAAGCAGTTGATATCTATCCCTTGGGCCAAATCCCCTTTGCTTATCCCTTTGGACTTTTCTTCTTCCAGCGGGATGCAATGTCTCCTCCAAACCTCAACTTTGCCTCCTTCATCTGAAAGGGTAAGGACACCCTCCTTTCCTCAAAGGAAAGCGGCAACACGACAAAACAAAAAATCATCCACCCATTGTCTGTTTCTTCATTATCCTTATTGATGGAGACAACCACGTCACTCTGGGTCCCTTGCTCCAGCCTTAACTTTCATGGAACATTCAGGTGGAAGAGACCCTATGGGCCATCCTGTTCTGCCATGAAGGAACACACTGTCAAAGCACCCCTGACAGATGGCCATCCAGACTCTGCTTCAAAACCTCCAGAGAAGAGGACACCATCATGCTTCCAGGCAGCAGGGTCCGCTGTTGAACAATAGCTCTTATTGGCAGGAAGTCCTTCCTAATGTTTAGATCAGTGGTTCTTAACCTGTGTGCTGCCAGTAGCCAGCAAGGATGAAAATCTGGTCCACGAGCCTCTTTTCTCTTTATTATTTTATTTTATTTCCGCTCCTTTTGTGTGGCCTATCACTGACCATGGCATATGTTCTTATCAGAAACTAGAACTGATATGGGTATCCAATGCAAATTTCTGAATCTGCACCCCAAGCCGAATCTAAAAACTGATTCGTAACACTTTTGGTACTAATGTTAGAGAATGGTCCCTGGTCAAGTGGTCCCTGGTCAAAAAAAGATTTGGAACCACTGGTTTAGATGGAATCTCTTCCTGCAATTTGAAGCCATTGCTCCTAGTCTAGAGAAAGCAAGGCTGCCTCCTGCTCGATGTGACATCCTTCCAAATATTTGAACATGGCTCTCAGCCTTCTTTTCTCCCAAGCTAAATAATGGAAGTCATGAAGAAAATAATGGCCACATTGTTCTAATTCTTTTTACTCTTCTTTCTGAAACCAAAACAGCATTGGTCTCAAATTGGTGCAAGGAGGGTACTGCTAAATCAGGCTTGGGCAAACTTCAGCCCTCCAGGTGTTTAGGCTTCAACTCCCATAATTCCTAACAGTCTATCGGCTGTTAGGCATTGTGGGAGTTGAAGTCCAAAACACCTGGTGGGCTGAAGTTTGCCCATGCCTGTTTTAAATGTTTCTTACCAGCATTTTTACCTGAATAGCTATTTGGACTTGGTTGAGTAAATAAATATATTCCATTAAGGAAGCTGTGATGAACTTGTGAGATGCTTCCTACAGGAAGAGTAAATTAGCAGCTTAATGTGTTCTCATTCTCTCCTTCCCCCCAATGCAAAATCAGCGAGTTCCTCTTCTTTCACAAGAAAAAGAATCAAGCTCCGCATTAGACTTGTTCTGCTTTCTGGTGGAAGGCCTATGTGGGTGGCAGCTGCACCAAAATTCTTGCACACTGAATGGGAACCTGCTCATGGAACAAGAGCCTTGTCCCTCCCCTGCTGCCATTTTACAAATAGAATGTGTGAACCCACCTGGGAAGTTGAATGGCAGCACATATGGACATTTCTACACACACTCCAACTAAGGATGTGGCTGAAGTTCATTCATGTTTGTTAAACAAATGGGATTTACTTTTCTCAATGATTTACAAGCTCTGAAATTTGACACTTGCTTAACTCAGGTATTTTGGAGAAAAATGGCAATCATAACCTTTTTGAAAAGGAAAAATGATCTCATGTCCATCTGGCAAATGTGAATCTCCATGAACATCCTGAGACTACTTTTTAAAACTAGTAGTCAAGGAAAGGCATGACCTTGTTAGAAGTCAACCCTTTGAACAAGTGATGTTCACAAGTATTCATGTAATGGGACACAGGTAACTCAGCTGTGAAACTGATAAACCATGTCTTTGAACTGCCAGGGACAAAGACATGCCACTGCATAAAAATATGTGTGGCTAGCAGAGTTTTACAATGTTTCTCCTCCCACACCAAAGAGGTCAGTCAAAATGGCAAATCAACATATACATACAATACAGGTTAGCAAATATATACATTAACAAACAAATAGTTTGCTATATTCAACAAGATATATTATTTTAGGGGCAGGGCGACAGGTCCAGCCTGTTTATTTTATATTTTATTATTTTAGGACTATGACACCCTATTTTATTTTGGAAGGTCAGGGATAAGGCCATATTT